TCTGACCCTACAGACAGTTTAGCAGTAGAACACTTATTAAGTTGACCCATAAATGGGTAATTAATATGTATGAATTTCAGGAATGCATTTTTAGGGGATTTCAAGTTCTTGCTTATGTAAGTGATAGAGTTGAATACTTGTGTGAATACGTAATTGACGTTTTCCCTTGCAAAGTTAAGGAACAAATTTTCAACCACTGGGATAGAGACAACTTTCAAAAAGATGCCTGAATGCGTTCTAACTTGTTGCAGTGAACACTGGTCTACAACTTCCCGTTCTAAAGGAATCAAATATAAAGTAGTGATGATATATGCTTAATAAATTGCAAACCTAAACTTTACTATGACTACAAAGAAGGAACACAAAGACAAAGGTAAAATGGAAATGCCTGAATAGAAAAGGTGTTTGGGAAAGTTTAGACGACCCAGAGTGGTGTACTGAGTGATGCAGTAATAAACGAGAACTGGCTTACCTACCAGAGAAGTGCCAGTTTACCTACTTCTGACTATAAATGAATTATTGGAAGAAGGAATGTAAGGAGAGAGTGAGCAGAGCTGTAAACCATCCAGCGAAGGGGTGCACAGAGAGATGGCTTCCTGCAAAATCTATTCAGCTAAGAATAATTTAAGATTTGAAAATGAGCATTGAGCAAGAAATTAAGTAATTCCTAGGCTGTGAAAACTTCCTGTCTATGGAATTTACTGATGTACAAAGAGTATAAGGCATAAAATGAACTTTAGACAAAATCCTTAGGTCTTTGCTTGCAGTTGTTGCTTCAGTAAAAAGCACCATTATACTGAAAAAAAAGTCATTTGTAGTATTGTAAATAGTCTGTGGTCTATTAAATATCTTCAGTTTTAGCATGTCCACTTTAAAAGATTGTACTGGCTGCACAGCATAAAACTAGTCCTGGCAAGCGTAAATCATGCATCCCGTAGCATCCTTCCCTTGGAATTTGTTACAACTATGTAGTTGTATCAAATTTGAATGGCAGCTGGGTGCTACATTTGTGTGGAATGTTAATATATTTTACTCTAACAATTTTGTTCTGCTAACTTAATTTTTACATTTATGTGAATTCAAAACTTTTCTTAGAAAAGATAAATATACTTTAACTGTGAACTATCAGTCCATTAAATCTGAAGCATTTACTGAGTATTGAAGCTTCTGTGGCCAAAAGCACATAGGTTTCTTGTATCTTTTTGCAGGATAAATTATCATCCCTGATAAGAGGGTCTGCTGCTTGAGCATCACCTGGATCTGTTCCCCTTGGTTATTATTATCAGTTAATGTCCTGTTATAGCAGAGAACTTAAGCTGTTATGGTAGAAGCTAAGTGACCTGGGTTTGACATGCTCTGTTGTGACATTTCTGTATCACTTAAAGATGGACACATTACACTTCTTGTTTAAGTGAAGATTATACCCTTGATCCTTTCTCCACTTGATGTATTGGTTTTGTCTATTTTCTTTCCAAGCTGACTTATAAGGGCATAGATGCCTACCAAAACTTATTTCTTCTGGACTGAACATAGAGAAATCTGTAACTGAAGCTCAGTTAATCCCTTCGATCCCTCTTTGCTACTGCATCCAGGAGCCCTTGTGCTGACCCCAGCACTGTGACTGAGTTATCAAAAAAACCCACATTGTCAGCCTCAGTCTCTTTGCTGATCTTTGTGAAGAGAATTCCATTCTGCAGGCATCCACAAAGCTGAGCAGCACGCACCAGCAGCATGTCAGGTATTGCATATTATTCCCCATATCATAGATGACCAGAAAAGCAAAGACTGCATGTACCATGTGAAGAAAGAGTAGGAAGAGATGGTGATCGATGGCTGCCAGTTCTTCCACGTGTGTAGGGCAATTGAGAATAACAAACCTGAGCTAAGTCTAGAAAGGGAGAAGGGAACTGAACATCTGTATTTCCTGGTGATCTGAAGAAAAAGGTGATGTTCTTAGATGAACTGGGTGGCCAGCTTTTGAAACAGAAATGTGGGACACAATAGCTTGAGAAACGACTGCTTTTCCAAAGCAGAGCATATTTTTTCCCCTTGCTGGTCATTAGCGGTGCTTCAGAAGGCCAGCACTTCATGGAGGAAGTCATGCTGGAGCACAATGAGCTCGTGACAATTTTAAGCTTCCCCCAGCATGTAATAACTCCGAGTAATTGGTAGGTACGTGCGCTTCGAGGACAATGACATTTTTGCTCCTTTGCCCGTTTAAATCACAGTGTTTTCTGCAAGATGGTGCAGTCAAATGTGTGCTGGAATGCACAGCACTAGTACAGGAATATTAGCATGTATGGCGTGTTTCTAAAACTTATTCAATATATAGCAGACAGTGCAAGTTGGGTGCGTGTGGCTTACAGATCTTGTTTTTAGATGCCATCACTTTCAGAGAACTTTTTTTCTGGTAGCATTTCTGAGCCACTCTTATGGCTCTTATGTGGAACGGATGGTCTGGTCCCCTAAGCATACTGCATGTGGTGATGGGTTTAGGAGAAGCCTGAAAACACAAGCTCCTGCAACCTAGCAGGACCTGCAGCCCTTCAGCAGAAGGTCTTTCTGCAGCTGCTGTCCTGTTCAGAGAAGGAGGGTGATGCTACCTTACATCTTATGTAAAGGTAAAGCAGTTGGATTGTTGTGATGGCTGGTAAGAGAAAGGACTAGCCACAGCCCTCCCAAAAGCACCATGGCTTTACCCTGCAATCAAAGGGTCATCTCTTCAGTGATCATCTCATGCACATAGCTCTGCCTGATAAAGGGGACATTAAAGCTGCAGTCTAAAAACCAATATCTTCAGATGTTTGGCAGATCTCAACCACATTTGGGTCCTGGTGTAATTGTAAAGAACCTGTTTAGAATAGAATAGAATAGAACAGAACAGAACGGAACAGAACGGAACGGAACGGAACGGAATGGAATGGAATGGAATGGAATGGAATAAGAATAGAATAGAATAGAATAGAATAGAATAGAATAGAATAGAATAGAATAGAATAGAATAGAATAGAATAGAATAGAATAGAATAGAATGAGTGACTCAGCCCTTTGAGAGATGAAGCATTTGTTGGTGCTTGAGATGTCCATACAGGTTTGGGGAGGGGGATTATAGCATCAATAAAAACCTTTGTTTTGAGGCTCCACCTTGCTCTGGAGCTCCAGGGTTTCAGCCCCAGTTTAGCAGAATCACTGGTGGTTCCTGCAATGGCCTGAAGATCGTCCTGAAAGATTCACTGTTCTTACTTACAGTTTCATAATGGAGGGAGTTTTGCCATCTTTATATTTACAGTGAAATTCAGTGCTCAGTATCAGATGTTTGGCTGAAAATGTCAGTATCATTTTACAGCTGAAAGAAGCTCACTGTCTTACAATAGATGCTATTTTTGTCCTAAATGTGTGCTTTTGTCCCCCATGCACATACTTGTTAGGTCCCATCCTCCAAAAATTCTAGATATTAAATGTGCCCCACAGGAAGGTAAATGATGAAAAAAATGGTATGTATGGAAAGGCTTCACATGAAGAAAGATTACTCTTAAGAGTTTCTTCATCTTGCCCAAGATGTCCTAAGCTCAGCTGAATTCCTGATTCATATAATACTGACATTACGCAAGACATTACTGGGGAAGGTAGGCACCTGATTTTATCTGGAACGGGGTGCTCTGCATTGGCATTACCTGACAAATAGTGGTGAATGTTTTTCCCTTAGAATATTAATTCAATTACCCTGATTTTAAAATATACATAATGTAAACAAAAAAAAAAAAAAAGGCAAGACATAATTCAGAATATCATGCTGCGGTTATGGAGAATTGGGAGTAAGTGGTCAAAAGCATTTACATGTGTGGTATTTTGAAGAAACAAGGAGATAGTTTGTATAAGGTATGGATAAATGCTACTTATGCATCAAAAATCCGGATCGAGGTGTTTATTTTGAAGTTTCTGATGCAAAATATAATTCACATCCCCATTGTAAAAGTCTCTTTTAAAGCAGTGTTTTCGGAGGTGCAGTCCTGTATGCTGATACACAGTTACTAGAGCATGAACAAAGAGTGCCTGGTTTTAGAAATGTTGTATATGTTGCCATTTATACAAAAGGAAGCTGAAAAAAACATTTAACTTCAGTGCAGCATACGCAGTGATGAAGACACTAGTTGTGAAATGCTGGTTTTATAAGTATAATTCATTATACTTTCTTTGATCCAGTGTTACAAATTAGGGTCAGTCGTGTCAGGAGATTAAAACCTTTTTGTCTCTCTTTGATATCAAACTTTTCTTTCCCAGTCCCTTTTATCTTGCAGAGCAGCGCTGAATTCCACAGCATCTTTGTCAGTTCGCTTGTGTTATTTGCAGCAATCATTTAATTGGTTTTAGAACTAATATTATTTAGTCATACTGTCATTTGCAACAACAGAGGCTCTTTAATATCCTGAAAATCTTGAGAGGCTCCAGCATTAGCTGGGTAAGCATATGTATAAGAGAGACCACAAAGAATTTTGGGACCATGGTGGGAGTGCAAGGTAGCTAAATTGGATAGAAAAAGAAAAAAAACCATACAAGTCAAAGTAAGATTGTACATCAGAAAAACTACAGCAATCTACTGAAAATTAGTAGATGATAGTTGTGAGTAGCTTACAGTGAACCACGGGTACCAGCTTCCCTGAAGCACAGAAATAGGAACTTGGAGAAGCTTGTAAAAGGTGTCCTCAGGGAATCTTCCATTTTTTCACTATGATACCTTTAATCCTAGAATTGTCAAGCCACATGGAAAATAATAGGACTGAATAGTTCAGTCAGTTAAAAGTTAGTATTATTTCTTTTATCAAAAATATTAGGTTTTTCTGTGTTTCTGGAGCTGTTAGGGTTTGTATAAACTTTAAAACAAGTGAAGTCAAGTATTGAACTTGTATTGCTCTTTCTTTTTTAATTTAAGATCATTATCTGTGACTAAGCAGACTCTATTCAATAGAAAGAAAGAACTTAAAGCCAATATTTTTTAACAGATGATTCAACGAGAGGCAGAAGTAAAGAATAAGGTAACTGCTGTGGCGTTAACAGACTCTGTTCACAATGTGTGGCATCAAGAAGTTGGGAAAACTATTCGAGAGTGGATGCGAGAGGTGAGGCCAGGTTTTTTTTAAGAGTTGCAGTATATATGTCTGTATATGGCTCTATAAACATGCCTTTGTCTGCTGACCTCTTCCATTTCTTTAGGGTATGAAAGACAGCACATTACAGGACCGTGGAAATTGTGTGCCCATACCAGCCCCTAAAATAACTGAGATTAAAGCCATTTCTGAACTTCAAAGACAGCAGTCAAAATAATAAGAACCAAGTCCAGTGTTTCTTCCTGCTGCACAGCAATATAGGCACATATACCAAGGCAGCCCACACACTGCCGATCTGCAGCAAAGTCCTGGGGGCACCCAGCGCTCCTGGCTTGATCTGGCAATGATGGAAAAGCCCCTTTAAGCTCTTCGTGACTCAATTTGATGATTTGAACAACTGGCAAAAAATCCTTTCTCTCAGCAGTTTTATGAGATGCAGTTACTTCTGAAGTGCTCTAAGGTTTCCTGATGAAAAGTCGGAGTATTTGCTACTGTACACCTACCAACAGTTAGTTGGTCCAAGATGATCTGGTGTTGATTCATGGCCAGCAAGCACCAAGTTCCACCCTTGGATGAAGGATGATGCCATGCATTCATTATTCTTTTGATACTTAAGTATGGGGTTGCTGAGATTTTTAAAATCATATTTTTTAAAGTGAGACCAACTAAACTTCTGTTTATGAGTTTCTTGCTCACCAGATCAGGCTCATGTCCAAGTTTTCTACATTCCTGTTGCAGAACCCTAAAACAATAGGTGCATATGGCAAATTTAAACTAGTTGTATCCTGAACTTTTTGTTAGACTTGACTTTTTCCCGTGGATTTCGTGAAACTTTGTGTATAGGCTGCCTATTCCCAACTTAACCTTACAGTTTTATAGGCCGTGACTGGTGGGAATAGAGAATCACCTGGGATGCAGTCTGACAGCTCTGACTTAAATGTTAAAAATATAAAGAATGGTAACCCCTACAGGCTCTGTCAGAAAAATCTCCATTTTCTTTATGGGAAATCAAAACCTTAAAATATATGTTATGTAGTAAAACTGAAATTTTAAATCCTGTAATTTGAATCTGACAACTCCATTTTTCTTTAAGCATTTAGTCTGAATAAGACAAGTGCATTACCTTTAATTTCATTTGCAGAAGGTAGATCTTAAAGAATAAGTTAAATGATTAATGGCCTAAAAAGTGGATGGAGTGTCATAACTTACATTAGCATTGAAAATCTCCTATAAGAAAGAAGAATTTTACATATGTGAAGTGTGGCTGAGTGGTATTAAGACTAGCATATCACCTGGATATCTCTTACTTTAATCAGGTTTAAGGCTACTGGTAAAATGAATAATAATTAAAATATACACCTAATCGCTGCCTGTCTGTAGGGCTAATTGCTGTCATTGAAAGAATGAATTGTTAAAAAAGTAATTCTTCATTGGAGCTCTCTCTCCTGTATCATTGGTGGCCTATTTTTAGTACCTATAGAAGTCATGATTTTTGAATTTATTAGGAGCTGTGATGAATGATAAAACAAATCATCCATTTACATATCTTGACACTGCTTTCGAGAATACTTATTTCTTACAGGCAAGTGTCACATTGTATATAAAAGCTGGTTAATTGTGTGCTAATCTTCTGTATTATCTCCAGTTCTCTGATGTAGTGTTCTATCAGTAGTTAATATTAATTTTACTTATTTCAAATGAATGTAATACTTAATAAAAATTCTGCTTCTTTTATAATTTCTACCATCTTACACTTGCAATTTCACATTCAGCTGTTAATTAAAATTATACATGCAAATTATAAAATGTATAATGCTTTACTACTTTAAACCTTAAAGCCTTTGTGAAATACTTCCATTTTAACCATTTTTTGCTAAAAAAGTTACATTACTGGGTAGTGTGTTTGTTTTCTTTTTTTTTTTCCATCGAGTTCAATAGTTTCATTGATCTACTGTTTCTTACAAAAATCTGCCATGCTTTGTGAACTTCACTTTCTAATCTCATACAGCAACCCTTCCTTTATGTTGTTCCTGCTCTCCCTGGTCCCAGAACAGTAGGGTTGCCTTGACAAATCTATTCAAAAGCCATTCCTCGCCCTTTATTGGTGGGGACTGAAGCCTTTGAAATTCTCTCCTCACTGCAACACAGCTGACATCTTCTTCCAGACAGAATGAATTAAGGAAATACAATAAGACACTTGATCTACCAGTCAAGGATCTTTCCACAGTGAGGACGGACTCCATGGTGCACAACTAGGGCAGCAAGCATCTACAAATACACAATACATGCTTGTTTACTAGAATAGCAATCATCCATTTTTACGATCATGATTGATGGGATGATTTTTTAGAAATCTGTCTGATAATTCATTGGGTCTTTCCAAAAAGTTGTGCTTTTTTTTTTCCCCCCTTAATGAAGTTAATCAGGTTTTCAGAAAGGAAAAACTCAGATTTCAGCATATTTTATTAAAAGCATATTATTTAATACTAAGAATGATTAATTAATTAAAAATAATAAAATATTAATTAAAAATAATTATTATTATTTAATTCATAGACTTGTATGAATAGATAGCATTTGGAACAAATAATTTTAAAAATTCATGGTAAATTCGTCCTACTCAGAGGTTCAGGAATGAAAGGTAAATGTAAATGCTTCCTGAATGGAATTCCCCAAAGACTAGTATTTGCATTTTTAAATGTTCATACCCAGTTCATCTCAGCTATATTTCCAATTATTTGAATATTAATCTGCTATCTTGATGGCTTTCATTCAGTTATAATCTGTTGTTTTGTGATTTCACAACCATGCTTTCCACAGTGTACTCCATCAAAACACCCTGAAAAATTCTGATTTCTTAATGTTGGCAAGCAAGCAGGCTCAGTGTTTATATCAACACTTACTTAATAACTACAGAAAGGAAACGCTTAAAATGTGCAGTGAGTAATTCAGGCACCGGTTGGTCCAAGCACCTACTTTAGTCCACTGGCACTCAAAGTAGCACTTAAAGACATGCTATTTAAGCACATTACAAATCTCCTGAATTATGGTCTTAGTCTTTTTACTTATTTAGAATGAAACTACAATATTTCATCGCCAGTTAGTGTGAATAAGCTAGTGTAGTTTACCTTCCGGTCCCTGTTGGGACTGCTATGTAAATTAGCTTGAGTATTTTGATGTGATCATTGTCCTTACTTACAAAGTCTGTATTTATTTTTGCGCTGAGTTTTTGGCTTACCCAAAAATTGCCTGCCTGCTCTTACAGAACTGCTGCAACTGGGTGTCCAGCTCTGAGCCCCTGGACACTTCAGTGGAGTCCATGCTGCCGGATTGTCCCCGTGTCTCTGCAGGTAGGTTGGTTTGTTTGCAGCCAGCCAGTATACATGTTTGTGCCCAGGAGCAGCTTGGTTATTTAAAAATGCATTTGGTTCTGAATGCATTTTAACCCTTCTGTGGCAAGATGTGATTGAAAGCATATGGCTGGTGCTATTTTATACAGCCCACTGTAATTTTTTTTTCTGCTTTGTGTGGGATTTATGTTCTCTTGCCTACTTGTAGCTTATATTTTTCTAATCATCTTCTTTTCTCTTTGGCTTTAAGTAATTGGTGACATTATGGATAGAAGCTTAAGAAAAATAATAGCAATGATGAAAACTGAAGGTTTTAAAGAAGTACGTTAATGAAAGGTACAGCTAAATGATATAAGACACTTTCCTGAATTCTGATCAACAAAAGTCTAGTTTATGTAGGAAATTATTTACAGTGTCCAAGAAAGTTGATGTGAGATTTCTGTTGTTTTGGAAATATTCAGCTACAAGCTTTCATTAATGAATCATGAGTCATAAATCATAAGGAGCACATGAAATAATACACAGAGACTTTTGTTAATGTGTAATAATTCCAGAAAGTAGACGTGGTTGTCAATGTAACAGGAAAATCTCAAATCTCTGTAGGAAAGTAATCTAAAATACATAAAGCTGTTACTGAACTTTCATGTTTGATTATCAGATTTCCTAAAAGCCATAGGTAGCGTATTTCTGTAGAATATAAAATCAGGTTCAAAGGAAGACACAGCCTATACAATATTAATTTAAAAGCTGGAAGAGTGTTTGACCTTGCTCTGTGAGACGCAGTTGTTCGTTTGACAAGTTAGAGATTCATATCTGTCTGGATTTGTGAGGTTGTTAATGAGACCTAACCTTGCAGATGAAATTTGGTTTACTGCAGGATATTTTCAAGACTTGGAAAATTTAGCGGTACTTTCTTTGATAGCTCACAACAACCAGAGACCTGTAATCACATTTCTTCTCTGGGTTGGGATCTAACCATGCAGATCATCAGCTCTGTACAGACACAGTGCAATAGCATTGACATTGCTCTTTAGTGCTTAGGGAAATGAAATATTACTAACATTTTCATAGATTCAACATTCGTTTACCAACTTTTTGCTCCTTTAGGGGAGAGTACTGCTGTTTAAAAATATTGTTTGGTAGTGGAATTCTGTAAAACAGAATTAACTTTCAATCTCTGACATCTGTGTTGCTGTTGTGTAAGAGTGCATGCTATAGAGGTCATTTTAGTCAGGTAAATAGCGGCTTGGGTAACAAACAGTCAGTATTTACAGTACACTTGCCAATACTGAAAATCCTTCATCTGAGCCTCTCTTCTCTTTCTTTGTATTCATCCTATGTAAATAATGTAAAAGGTATTCTATAAAAGAAATCCTAAGTGTTATTTAAAAAACAGACTGATGCTTTAATACGGATGTGAATAAGGCTTAATTTTACCTTTTTACTGAGGATGGATCATAGTGGGCATAATGTCTATACTCCACCTAATGAACTCCCAGCTACACTGAAGTCTTTGGCAGAATTAATTTAAATGGGGTAGGATTTCAGCCAGTAAAAGTTGTAAAAGTACAAGTTGGCTGTTTGTATTTCATGCATACATACAATGCCACTAGATTAAGATTACTGATGTTTTAGAAGTTTTTGTCACAGATTTTGGACGATTTAAATGGAAGCTAACTATTTCCAGCTTGTTTTTTTGTAATATAAGGACAGTTTAAAATAGTATAGCTTTATGTGACTACTGCTGAACTATCAATTTGCTCATATGTTTTTGTTGATATTTCTTGTATTCATGTCTTATATGGACAACTGTAAGACATTTACAGAGCAACAAGTGAATAATTCCTACAGTGTGTTTATATGAGCAATGACATAAGCCTGCATTAGGGTAATCTGTAATAAATTTGTGAAATGCTACTAGATGTAGGAGCATTAGTATTTAATGTGAGAGATTTTATTTCACGCGTTTCCTGAGAATTGCAGTACTGAAAGAGCCCACACTCAAATACTGGCAGCATTGCTCTTGGTATTTCAATGACAGTGAGAGCAATCTGAGCAACGAGAGGAGATTGTTTAAAATAAGCCTTCTCTTTTCTGCTTGCAACCCCATCTTTTATCTGTGTTTGCACTGAGAACTAAGTTCAGGAATAACTGCCTCTCTGTCACATCTCATGAGCCAGCTTTTCCAAAAAGGGACTGGTATTCAGCCATTCAGCATACTAGGATTTACAGGCAACCCCAGTTTGTTTGTGAGCAGTGCCTACTTCAGATTATGTCACAGTCTTTTGCTTGCGTTTCCCTTAAAAATCAGTAAAGAGAAATGAAAGGACATCAAACTGGGAAAACAACTTGTATTTCCAGATAGAGTTGTTCAAGCTTTTGATTGGAGCATTATTAAGTAATTAAAATGTTTGCCGTAATTCATTCATGTTTTACTCAGTTACAAAAAGGAATGGATACACTTTAATAATTAAACGCTGTGGGCTTGAGAACAATACAGAAAAAGCAAGCCATAATAAATCCGTTCTCTGTCCTTATGGCAAGAGGTGGGGTACTGCAAAGGTCCCACCTTTGTGATCTTTCCTCCACGTCTCAAGGATTTGGTTGCATGCTAGTGTCATAGTTTAACTTCCTCCTGTGACAGGTTATCATCACACCGAAGAGATTGTCCTCTAAAATTTCCAGTTTAACGCCATTGTCCTGTGTGGTATATGTAATCCTAAAAAGCCTCCCATGCTGTGTTGAGAGAGATATCTCCCTGCTCAAACATCTTCCATTAGGCCTGGAGCTCCTTTTGAGGCTATCTGTCCAACACTATCCATCTTGTTACCCTTCCCATGTTATTCCAACAAGAACAAGGAATTCTTCCTCATTACAGGAGAGTCCACTACTCTCCCTCTGTCATTTATTTTTTACCAGGCAGGGCTGTCCAGCATCATTCCCCTCTGCTCCTTCTCTGGCTGACAGCACTCTCTGGTGTCCAGCTTTGCAGCATTGCACAGGTAAGGTCGTCAGCTGTGGCGCTGTCACCTCATTGGCCTGGAGGAGCCCTCTGTTGGTCTCCAGTCTTCAGTCTATGTTAAAAAATCTCCTACCCTCTTTACTTTCAGCCCTCATTAAGGACCTCTGTTAGACCTGAGGTCACCTTCTGTCTCAGTCTTAATCCACCTTCCTAATGGAGTCAAATCAGAAGACCTCTCTTCTGTCTCAGAGGAGATGGATCCATTTCCTCTCTACCTAAGACATAAGCAAATGTGGGGTGGAGAAAGATGAAGACTTTAAAAGCAGTCTGTATATTAAAGACCATCTCATAAAATGGAGTCAGGGTGGAAGTCTTACTGTTTGGGAGACTGGAGGTCAACTTGTGATTTGATACAGACAATGGGATAGACGTTTTAATGACAGGTTGTATCATGTTACTGCTAACCATAGTTGTGTTCACTTCATGTCTCTGAGACCTTACAACATTTCTCCTAGTTCTGGAGCAGGGAGTTCACAAACTCTTTGGGAAGCCATCCTACTGGAGCAGCTGCTGGGTGCAGATAGCTGAACGTGAGGATGGGAGAAAGCAGATCCATGGATCTGTGTCCATCTCTGTTGCTGCTCAGGAATTAAATTACTTTAATTTCAGGACAGCGGCCTGAACCTTACCCTAGGAAAGGCATTGTGGTAAATTTTGCCAGGTAAACTTGGCCTTTGTTTTCCCGAATACGAATATTTTGGAGTGCCTCATGGGGGGCACCTTAGAGTTTGGATAAGATACATTCCTTAGCTCAAGTGTTTCTGCCAGTGAAAGCTTTTTATTTAGAAGATTAAACTTTGCAGTATTTTGCCAAAGTGGATATGCACCAACACTTATTTACATAATCAAATAAAAAGAAGTTATTGTAACATTAGTAAAATGAATTGCCTAATCAAATCCTTTTAAAGCCTTTCTAGTTGACCCCCAAAATCACTAGTTATTCTTTTAACAGTTGCAGCCAATGTAGTTAAAACATTGTAAAATAAGGAAATTATAACGTCAAAAGACAAACAAGATGACACAATGGAATGAAACATTGACAGTAATCAAGAAATGTTCTATTCATGGAAGAGCCTAGACTTGAATATATGTCTCTGTAATAAGGAAAAAAGTGCAAGAATTAATTCATGTAGCTGAATAAAGTGATCTCACGCTGGTGGAAGAAAAACAAACTTAATTTTGGGGGACAGGTATCACCCATGCTGGTGGTGCTGGTGGTGCTCTGAACAGTATCCTGAGTGAGTCCTCAGATAGTATTTCCTGGTGCCAGACACCAAGCTTGACTCTGTATGGTATATAAAACATTTCATTTCATTTAGGCAAGCCAAGCACAACTGGGTTTTTTTGTACTTTGAATTTAGAAAAGATCATTAATATTATTTCTAACAGGCTACTGCAGGTGTTTGGGTTTTTTACAGATAAATAGATAGGGAAAAATGGCTTCACAGAATGGTTGAGGTGTGAAGGGACCTCTGAAGGTCATCTGGTCCAACTCATGCTCCAGCTGGGCCATCTGGAGCCAGTTGTCCAAGACTATGTCCAGTCTTCCATAAGCTCCATTGCATGTCAATAAAGAAACCATGGTCATGGTAATTACTTTTCACATAAGGTTATGGAGTTTTTATTGGTATACTTGCCCTAACCAAAAGACCCCACAGCGTCATGCCATAATCGTGTGCTGTGCTGGATGGTTATGTAGGGTTTGAGTGTGTACATGAGTGAGTATGGAGTGGAGACACTGGTGGTTGTCCAAACTCAGGTAAGACAGTTTTGTGTGTGTGTCACCACCAAAAGGAGGTCCTTCACATTACACAGAGGTTCAGAAAGTGGTTGTTTTCCTGCTTTGCCTTTTCAAATCCTTTTAACTGGGAGAGGGGAAGCGGGGCTGGTGGTTGTTTCTGATGGAGTTTGTCCCGACAAGGAGCAGGGTTGTCATCCATTGAGCCTTTCGGTAAAAACACAGCCAAAAGTGTTTGCA